TTTGTAAAAAAATTTTTTTTTATCACAAATAATCTAAAAATAAATAATTATTATATTACTTTTTTTTTTTCGATTTTTACGCAATGATAAAATTCTTCAATTCATTGTAAACTTTATTTTTTGTTTAAAAAAAAAAAAGAATGAAATGATAAAGTATGTAAACATTTTTTTTAAAAAAAAAAAGTAAAATTTGAAAAAATGATTAACTTTTCTGCTTGTAATTACTTTCTGAATAATTCCGATAAAAAAAAAAAAAAAGAATTTATTTTGCTTAATACAAAAGTACTTTATAAAAATTTGTTATTTCACAAATAATCTAAAAATAAATTAATCATTTTTTTATTTTATCAAAAATATTTGATCGCTTCCTCTTACGCTTTTTTCTTTTTGTTTTTTATTTTTTTCATTTCTATTTTATAAAAAAAAAATGTAAAAGTAAATTAATTATTTCCTCTAAATGTTTGCTTACTTATAAATATTTGAAATAATAAATATTTATTTCGACAAGAAGTAAATTTTTTTTTTTTGTTTCAATTTTTGTTTTTTTTTTTAATTTATTTATCTTTTTTTTTTCTTGGAATTAAAATAAACGAAAAATTTATTTAAATACAAAACAATGTCAAATAGTTTTCTTTTTCTTTTTATTTTATTTTTTTTTTTTTTTTGAAATTTTATTTACATTAATTTCAGAGAATTTGAAGAAGAGAAAAAGGAAAAAGTTTAAGTACGATTTTTTCTTTTTTTCCTCTTTTTATTTCTCGAACTTATTTCGTATTTCTTTTTAAATGAACTTTTCAGAAAAAAAAATTTTTTTTTTTTTGAAATTTGTACAAAGAGATAAAAAAAAATATGCAAGTATTAAATGTAAGGGAGAGAGAGAGAGAGAGGAGAGAAAGAGAGAAAAGGGAAAGAATAGCTCCACTTATAATTATTAGCGGAATAATATTGAAAATATTATTTGCATTGTTTGTTACAAAAGAACTTCGTAAAATTTTTCCTATTCCGTAAATGAATGGAAAATAAATTAATCATTTTTTCTCATTTTTTTTTTTTTTTGTGCATCGGTTTATTTCGTAAAGAATTTTTTTTTTTTTTTTTGTCTGATTGAAGTGAAAGTAAAAAGTATTTTAGAAATAATTTGAAATGTTATTTTTGTTGATAAATTCATTTTTGATAAAGCTGAATGAATTGATAAATGCTATAGACAACATATATTAACAGTGTTATCAAAATAAATCTTACTAAAAAAGAGAAAAAAAAAACGTACTTTTAACATTTTAAAAAATATTTTTTAAAAAAAAATAAGGAATTGTTTTTTTTTTTTTTTTGCTTCTAAAATTTTGTGATAAATTGTAAATTGAACATTTGATGGCAGTCTGAAAGATGTAATAGATGAGAAGTATCAAATCTTTTTAAGATTGTTAAATATTTCAAAAATTTTAAATAAGTTGAAAAAGCCATTTAGAATGGAAAAAAAAGAATTTTATTTAAGCTTAAAGAAATGATATAAATTAATTGGAATTTATTTATTTGTTCAATTTATTAATTGGAATTTATTTATTTGTTCAATTTATTAATTGGAATTTATTTATTGAATTAATTTTTTGTAGTAATTTAAAAAAAAAAAATGATGTTTGATTTGGAATGGTTTTTGCCTTATGAATTATATTATAAAATATTAAGTCATTGATTTTATATAACTAAAATTAATTAATAGATTAATTAATTATCAAATCTTAAATGGTCACTAGCTATGCTTAAATTCACCACTTCCTTATATTTTTGAAAAATTATTAAAATATTTGCTTAACAAATAAAAAGTAAAACAAAAAAAAAAAATTTTTTTTGATTAAAAAAATTAGTTTCTTAAATTTCTTTTTAACTATTTCATTTAATTGTATTATTACAAATTTCCTACATATATTTTTTAATAATTTTCAAAAATTCAAAAAAATTTTTAAATCAAATAACTCACAAAATTAGATTTTCATTTTCCAAATAATTAATTTGAAGAAAAAGTTTATTTTTTTTTTTTATTATAACAGAATTAATAATTTTATACGAAACAAATTTAAACCAATCAAATAAATCTTTTAATATATAAAAAAAAAAATTTAAATGAAATAAATAATTTATTAGCCATAAATTAATGCTCTCAAAAATTGTTACAGAAAATACATATTAAATTAATTTTGCTCCATTTCATTTAAATATAAATTTGGGAAAATTTAATGCAAATGTATGATTAATTCTCCTACAATAAATATTAATTATTTCGTTAAAAAAAATTTTTTTAAAAAAAAATAGAAATTGAAATTAAATTTAAAAAATAAAATTGCAATAAATGATTTAGTTATGCCTTAAAATAAATTACTGTTCGTATTTGTGTGACTTTCTTAACAAATAAATTACAATGATATTTCGAAGAAGAAAAAAGGCAAATAACTTTCATTTTTTTTTTTTTTTTGCAAATTTTATTTGAAATAATTTCAAATAAATCAAATATTTTGTAAGAAAAAAAATAAAAAAACAAAAAAGAATGAAAAGCAAATTTAAAAAAAAAAAAAGAAAAACAAAACGAAATACATTAAAAAAAAAATTAAAAAAAGTGGAAAAATTTTGAAATAATATGGTTTATTTGTTTGTTTCTCAAATATTTTTATTTTTTATTAAATTAATTACAACAATTAATTGTAGTAATTAATTTAGTATTTTTTAATGAATTAATTTCATTTGTATTTTTTAATTAATTTATTGCTATAATTTGTCATTTTTTTCTTCATTCATTAAATTATAAATCAATGAAATGATTTTTAATCAAAAGTATTTTTCATTGTTTAATTAAATTATCTTTTTAATGACAAATATATGTTGTAAAAATTGATTTTAATTGTTTATTAAAATTTTTTTTTTTGATAAAATAATATTTTTATTTAATATTTGCAAATTAAATGTTTTTTTTTTTAACTTCGTTTTTTATCTTTTTGTTTTCTTTTCAAAGTTTTGAAATTATCAATAAACTTTAAAATTTTTTGTTAGAATTTATATGACAGTTTGGTATGAATAAGTCATTTTTTTTTAATGAATTTTGAAAGATTTTAAAATATTTTCTGTGATAATATTGATAATATTATTTAGCAGAGTTTTTCTTATTTGAAGATTTTACGACCTTAGACTTTACGTCTCCGTACTTTTCTCACATTTTATATTATAAAAATTTTGGAAATAAATTTCAAAAAAAAAAATCCATTTATTATAAAAATTTAAACCTGAAATAATGCAATTCTCTAAAGTACTGTGAATAACAAAAACATTTAGATGAATTTTTTTTAAGAAATAAAATTTTCGATTGAAATTTAAATATTTTATCAAAATTTAATTCATTGAGAATTTTCTGAAAATACAAAGAAATTCGATAATCTCTAATATATCTCTAATATTTCCATGTTGCAATTCAAAAAAAAATTAATTATTTTCTTTCTACCAGTTCATTTCTTTTTTTTGAAGATTCGAAGTGACAATTTTATCCTTTTAATGACCTTTAACCTTTCAATTGTTTATTTAAATATTAAAAGCCATTATTTTTTGATCCTATATTTTTTTTTCAAATTTAAGTAAATGGAGATGAAATTAAACAAATTTAATAATAAATACTTACATTTAATTGGGCAAAATTATCAAAATATAAAAATAAAATAACAATTAGAATAAAACATAAATTTATTTCAAACTATTTTGATTATATTAATTACAGAAAAATATTTTATCGCATTTATTATCATATTTAATCATTAATTAACAGCAATTTTATGAATGAAATGGATTACTAATTAAAAAGCATTTGAAAAGTAACCCGTAAATATTAAAAAAAAAAAAATTTTTTTTTTTAAACATATTAACAATAAAATTATACTCTTCAAAATTAATAAATGACAAAATAATATGCAATATTGTAAATTAAATTATGGGCAAAATTTTTCTCCCATATTTTACAAAAAAAAAATTACTAAAATAAAATAAATAATTGAATGAATGAATGAATGCAAAATTTTATTAATTAATTCTGAAAGGAAAATAATTATTAATTAGCTTAAAACAAAAAAAAAAATGAAAATTTATGTAATTAAGCAAAATTAATTTAACCAAACATAATTTAATTATTAAAAGAGAGAGAGAGAGGGAGAGGGGGAGAGAGGGAAAAAAAACTTGGGAGAAATCATTTTGCACATAATTTTTACTATTATTTTTTTAAATATATACAATTTTAATAATAATCAACAAACATTTAACCAAAGTAAAACATAATTAAATTACCATTATGTACCTTTTTAGATTAATGAAATATTCAAAATTTACAAAAAATTTTTCAATCATTGCTCTTTTGCATGCCATTCGCTCTAATTTGAAAATTTTTTTGAGTAAATTCTAAAAAAAAAAATTTGTTTAATTTACACTTAAAATAATGCATTGCAAATTGTGCAAAGCATCAAAGCATTTAACTAAATTTTAAAAAAAAATGAAATAAAATAAAGAAAAAATGAGCCATCACCAATTAATTTATAATTTATAATACAATTCGATAAAGTAAACTAATTTCTTTGCACAATAATTCCCAAAAAAAAAAAAATTTTTATCAAAATTCGAATATTTTGAATTCAATTCAATGGAATATTTTTATGCTTCTCAACGAATTTTTCGAAATTTTCTATTATCACCAAAAATTTTCGCTTATTTTTTTCTTCTTAAATTAAATATATTTTTACATTTTAAAAAATTAAATATTTTTGCTTAATTTTAAATTAAATATTTTTTACAAATATAACTAATATGTCTTTTGTTTTTTTTTTTTAAAGAAAATTTCGGAATTATTTTTCGGGAAAGTTTTGAAATATTCACATAATTGTTACTTTTACAAACTGATTTTTTTTTTTTTTTTTGCATGAAATTTACAAATTTTTATTTCTTACATTTTCTAATTTTGTAAATAATTAAAATTTATGCTACATAAAAGTTGATTTTTCTTTCATTGGTAAATTATTTTGCAACGTCGAATTTTCTTGACATAACGTACAGTTCACGTTTGATTGCAACGTGATAGATAGAAGCGGAAGGAAGAAGAATGTTGCAAAAAGCCAACTAACACTAGCTAAAGTTATCAAAAATACGCCAACCTGAAATATTCAAATATTTTTTTGATGAATCTAATTTACTTTCATATCATTTCAAAGTTTTACTTTAAACTTAAACTGTAAGTTTTTTTTTTTTTTCAGGAAGTATACATTTTCCTGAATTTGTAGCAATAAATTAACTTTTCTCAAATGATAACTTTTATAATTTTTCATCTTTTCGTTCTTTATTAGTAAATTTAATTTATAACTTAAAAAATAGAATCAAATTTAATAGATTTTTTTTTTCCAAATTTTATTTTAATAAATTTAATATGAGAAAGAAAAAAAAAAAACGGAAAAATTTATACTTGATGAAATGCATGTGTTTCGGCAATTAGCATTGAACTACCAGCAGCAAATGATGATAGAGCAGATAAACTGACCGGTATTACTGATTTACGAGCTGCAAACCAAATACGATGCTTACCGCAACCGGTTTCCGGTACGGAAGCACCATAATGCAAGGTGAAATCAAATGATAAGCCAACCACAAGTACCAGAATAATTGCCTCGAGGACACCAATTACCCAACCTAATGTTGTCACACAACCAACCGTTACAATGACAATACAACAAATTGTAATTAATGCAATTAGCGATTTAAGTCGCAAATGTAAAAATGCAAAAATTGCGACAACCGTAAATGACAACAACAAAGATTGACGACAATCCGTAATTATTGAATTTAGCAAATCAAACCATATGCAAATTAATGACCATTCTGTGGTATACCAACCACCTGCAATGATTCATTCATTAAATATTATTAAGTGTAATTGTAGTGAAATAATTAATTGTTATTGATTTGCATACCTGTAAAATCATTCATATGATCTTTGACCTTGATCAGCATACTGATCAATTAATTAATCTTTTATAAAATCATTACAAAAAAAAACAAAAAACTTTTTCCATTTTAGTTTATTTTTTAATAAATTTTTAATTTAAACAATAACAATGGCAATAATTTAGGTTATTGAATGGATATAAAGTAAAATTTACTTAAACTTACCATAACTCATATTACTAAATGAATGTTTTAATAAGTCAAAAGTATGTGACAAATTCTTGAAACGATGTGAATATTTAAGTTTAGTTGGTAGCATTGCAGTGTAACCAATTAAATTAAAAGTATCATTATCATATATTGGTGTATCATTGTATTGTGTGTAAAGATAAGCTGTTGATAATCGAATGCAATAATCTGTTAAATTTTCGTGAAAATTTGAATCAGCAAAATTACAACATATTTGAGATGGTTCACAAGTGAAATTACGACTCCAAATTAAATATCTGAAATATAAAATATTTAAAAAATTATTTTAAAAAAAATAATATTATAATTTTTTTTAAATTAAAATTTGAAAATTTCATTTTTTTTTTGAATTTCAAATTAAACATTTATATTTTACTAAATCATTGTGTTAGCTTTTTTTTTTTATATTTTATATTTACAAAAAAAAAAAAAAAAGAAAAGAAGAAAATTTTTTAATTTTTTTACCTTTCTGGCCAATATTGATTTTGATGATTGATAAAGTTTAATTCTCTATAACTTCGTAATTTGAATGCTAATTCCTGTATATCAGTTGTATTTTGTAATGAAAATTTATAATCATGCTGTACAGGTGTTAATTTATCAGGTTGAAAAATATTTTGTGAAATACGTGGTGTTAAACCCCAAATTAATCGAATAGCAATAGGAATTTGAAGTTTATTAGTAATAAATTCAAAATTTTTTTCAGCATTATTATCGTACCATTCGTGTTTATTTGAATCAGTAAATAGTTGTAATGGATTATAAGGTGGAAATTGAAGATTAGTAAAGGTTAAATAGGTCATTGTGATAACAATAGCAGCTAAAGATGAGATCCAAATATAACGACCCGAAATGATAACAGATGGTAGTAAATCACGCATTAAGTAATTAAACTTAGAAAATATACGACACGTGAAGCAACGTTGGATGTAACGTTCCTGGAATATAAGCATTGCTGGTAGAAGTGATATTTCTAGCAAATAGTTGAATACTAATGTTATACCAGCAAATAAACCAAAACATCTGTAAAAAAAAGTTAAATAGATAAATAATATTAAAAATTAAAATAATATGTATATTTTAATTCAAAAAAAAAAAAATGAAAAATTGTCATAAATTATTATTATTATTATTATTATTATTATTATTATTATTATTATTATTATTATTATTATTATTATTATTATTATTATTATTATTATTATTATCTAAATGAAAAATATTTAATGGTAAAATATTTTTATACAATTATAATAAAATATTTTTAAAAATAAAATATATAAATTAAATTATTGAAAAAAACATTTGTTTAATTTATTTCTTCTTTTTTTCTTAAAATTTTATCATTTTTTAAACCAAAAAAAAAAATTTTTTTTTTCTTTATTCTTTTTCATTTGATAATAATAAATTTTTTGCTACGTTGAAAGAATAAATGTAGTAAACAAAAGGAAAAAAAAATCAATTATATTTGAAAATAAAATTATTAAAAAAAAAATTTTTTAAAAAACAAAAAGAAAAGAAATACTAACCGGAAGACAACAACACTGCTAAGAATATTTGTAAAAAATGGTACAGCTGTTGATGAAGAAGTTAATAACATAGCATTAGCTGTATGTGATAAACATTGATGAATGGTTTGTGATGTTACATCCATTGGAAATGAATTTAATAAAATGAATGCATCATCTGATCCAATTGCTAATAAAAGCACAAATATCACTAAATTTAGAAGTGGAAAATTCACTGTAAATAGCGAATAAATTGCTAAAGCACTTAGAACAGATGCAAATAGCACAAAAGCAACCATTATGCAATAGAAAATATTTAATGAATATAGGAAAACAATTAGAAATACGGAAAATGCAGCGCCGCAAGCAAGCAGAGAGTCACGTTTAGCACCGTCGTATAAAAGGTCACGCTTGATATCCATTGATAAACCTGAAATTAATTATAGCACTAGTGATACCGCATACATTAATGATATCAGTATAGAAATTAATTAATGATATCAGTATATAAATATATTAATGATATCAGTATAGAAATTAATTAATGATATCAGTATAGAAATTAATTAATGATATCAGTATATAAATATATTAATGATATCAGTATAGAAATTGATTAATGATATCAGTATATAAATATATTAATGATATCAGTATAGAAATTAATTAATGATATCAGTATATAAATATATTAATGATATCAGTATAGAAATTAATTAATGATATCAGTATATAAATATATTAATGATATCAGTATAGAAATTAATTAATGATATCAGTATAGAAATTAATTAATGATATCAGTATATAAATATATTAATGATATCAGTATAGAAATTGATTAATGATATCAGTATATAAATATATTAATGATATCAGTATAGAAATTAATTAATGATATCAGTATATAAATATATTAATGATATCAGTATAGAAATTAATTAATGATATCAGTATATAAATATATTAATGATATCAGTATAGAAATTAATTAATGATATCAGTATAGAAATTAATTAATGATATCAGTATATAAATATATTAATGATATCAGTATAGAAATTGATTAATGATATCAGTATATAAATATATTAATGATATCAGTATAGAAATTAATTAATGATATCAGTATATAAATATATTAATGATATCAGTATAGAAATTAATTAATGATATCAGTATATAAATATATTAATGATATCAGTATAGAAATTAATTAATGATATCAGTATAGAAATTAATTAATGATATCAGTATATAAATATATTAATGATATCAGTATAGAAATTGATTAATGATATCAGTATATAAATATATTAATGATATCAGTATAGAAATTAATTAATGATATCAGTATATAAATATATTAATGATATCAGTATAGAAATTAATTAATGATATCAGTATATAAATATATTAATGATATCAGTATAGAAATACAATAATGATATCAGTATAGAAATTAATTAATGATATCAGTATATAAATATATTAATGATATCAGTATAGAAATTAATTAATGATATCAGTATATAAATATATTAATGATATCAGTATAGAAATTAATTAATGATATCAGTATAGAAATTAATTAATGATATCAGTATATAAATATATTAATGATATCAGTATAGAAATTGATTAATGATATCAGTATATAAATATATTAATGATATCAGTATAGAATTAAATTAATGATATCAGTATATAAATATATTAATGATATCAGTATAGAAATTAATTAATGATATCAGTATATAAATATATTAATGATATCAGTATAGAAATTAATTAATGATATCAGTATATAAATATATTAATGATATCAGTATAGAAATTATTAATGATATCAGTATATAAATATATTAATGATATCAGTATAGAAATTAATTAATGATATCAGTATATAAATATATTAATGATATCAGTATAGAAATTAATTAATGATATCAGTATAGAAATTAATTAATGATATCAGTATATAAATATATTAATGATATCAGTATAGAAATTGATTAATGATATCAGTATATAAATATATTAATGATATCAGTATAGAAATTAATTAATGATATCAGTATATAAATATATTAATGATATGAAATTAATTAATGATATCAGTATATAAATATATTAATGATATCAGTATAGAAACTTAATGATATCAGTATAGAAATTAATTAATGATATCAGTATATAAATATATTAATGATATCAGTATAGAAAATTAATGATATCAGTATATAAATATATTAATGATATCAGTATAGAAATTAATTAATGATATCAGTATATAAATATATTAATGATATCAGTATAGAAATTAATTAATGATATCAGTATATAAATATATTAATGATATCAGTATAGAAATACAATAATGATATCAGTATAGAAATTAATTAATGATATCAGTATATAAATATATTAATGATATCAGTATAGAAATTAATTAATGATATCAGTATATAAATATATTAATGATATCAGTATAGAAATTAATTAATGATATCAGTATATAAATATATTAATGATATCAGTATAGAAATAAAATAATGATATCAGTGTATAAATAAATTAATGATATCAGTATAGAAATTAATTAATGATATTAGTATAGAAATACAATAATGATATCAGTGTATAAATAAATTAATGATATCAGTATAGAAATTAATTAATGATATCAGTATATAAATGCATTAATGATATCAATATAAAAATACATTAATGATATCAGTATATAAATATATTAATGATATCAGTATAGAAATACAATAATGATATCAGTGTATAAATAAATTAATGATATCAGTATAGAAATTAATTAATGATATTAGTATAGAAATACAATAATGATATCAGTGTATAAATAAATTAATGATATCAGTATATAAATACATTAATGATATCAGTGTATAAATAAATTAATGATATCAGTATATAAATACATTGATGATATCAGTATATAAATAAATTAATGATATCAGTATATAAATATATAAGTGATATCGAAAAATATAAATAAATGATATCATAAGTGGTATAAAAAGAAATATGTTTAGTTCTTTTATCAGTATAGAAAATAAATTAATATAAAATTGTTTTAATGTTTGTAAAAGGAATAAATTCTTTTTTTTAATGCTAAAATTTTTTCCAAATAAACAAAAAATTGCAAAATATTATGTTGTTTATTGATTATAAAAAAAAAATTTTTTTTTATTTGATTCGTTATAAACAATTCATTTAATAGCATTCTATTTTAATTATAATTATAAATTAAAAATACAATTAAAGTTTAGATAAAATTAGAAAATAAAAAAAAAAAAGGAAAAAAAAGGCATCTAGTATAAAATGTAATATTCATTGATAATTCAAAAATATAATTTAGTAAAATTACATTATAATATGATAATTTTTTACCTTTTAAAATAAATTTGTCATGTTTCAGGGAGAAATTTTGAAATGCTTCTTGTAAATTTAAATAATATTGTATGGTTCCTTGATGAAAACCTTGTGATCGATAACCACCTGATGTAAAAATTGGCAAAAAACCATTGATAAAAATTGGTTTTGTGTTTAAATTTTTTGGTAAAATTCGATAAAATAAATCAAAAATCATTTGTGTGGAGCAATTTGTTGGAACATTAAAACATGGCGAACAATCCAAATAGCAATTTCGACGACAATTGATAATTTCACGACGATATGATTGACAGTAATCAATGATATCACGACCGAATTGTATATCATTTTCAGTAAGAAATGAGCAGTTTGTTAGAAAATTAGGTGAGAAGCATGATAAATAGTTTGGTAGACTCCAGATATTTCTAAAAGTTAATGTAATTTAATAAATGTTAAAGTATGAAATTTATTTTAGAAATAAATTTAAAACAAATTTTTGGTTTAATTTATAATTTTTTTGTCCATCAAAAAAGATAAATTTTTATTAATCATAAAAGAGATAAATGTATGTATATTTAATCATTTTCATCAATTATTTTCATTAATCTTTACTTAAAAAAAATTAAATAAATAAATAAAAAAGTTTTCATTAACTTTTCATTAATCACAAAAGTTATAAATATGTTAATTACAAATCAAAATTTAAATTCAATACATTTGTAGATGGTAAAGGATGATCAAGCAGTGATAACAATGCAAAATAACAACTGATAATAATAATTATTATTATACTATAATTACTTATACTATAATTATTATTACTATAAGTATTAAAGGATATTACTATTATTATTATTATTAATGTAAGTTAATTTTTAGCTATTACTATCGCAATAGCTAAAAATTAAACTATAATAATGAGAATTTGAGATAATTCAGGTTATCGATCATTAATTTATAATGATTATAAGAGAAAATGTTAACCTTTGATCTATTTAAATCCAAAATTTTAAAAATAAATACTCAAACCTATAAAAGGTAAATTCTTATTAAATTATCTCCCTATCTTTTCTTATATCTTACTTTTTTATCTTTTTGACCTATTTTTTTCTTCTCATTAGTTCTAGAAAAAACGGATTCAAAAGTTCTAGAAAACAGGTTTAATTAAAATATTGTTAGAATTATTGAAGCTAAGAATATTATCATTTTACATTCACTTACTTTTATAACAGTAATTTTCTTAGTGATAAGAAAAAAAAAATAATTAAAATGTTAAATTTAATTTAAACATTAGAATAACCAGAAGTATCTACTGGTTATCATAATTAGTGATAGAATTTTAACCTAATCAGCTCTTCTCTTCTAACTTTTACTCTCATTGACCTCTGACATTTGAATTATATATTCTAAATTAGTACTTTGAAATATTTACTACATTTAATTATCGTCTAATAATTAAATGACTTATCGATGTCAAAGTTAATAGTTTATCATTCATATGAATAATTTGAATAATATAAATAATTGGAAAGCTAAAGGATTCTCATAGTATTCTCAGTAAAATGTCGCATTTGTAATTAATTATAATTAACTTTGGATTTAAGTTTTTAAATATTATTTCAGTTTTTAAGTAATTATCTTTTTTTTTATGGTTATCAAATTGTTTCATACAAATTTTGTTCAAAAAAGTTTAAAATTTAAATGGAAATTAAACAAAGAAAATTAAACATTTAATTTTTAATGGCACACAAAAGAATTTACAATTAATTTCGGATAAAAAACATCGATGATAAATTGCCGAAAGAAATTATATACATTTCTTTTTTTTTTATTTTGTTTGAATATGCCTATCTCACTCACATCTCTAATTTTTTTTTTTTTTATTTAGAAAATTGAGTAAATTTATCATCCCAATAACCTAAAAATCTAAAATTTCATTGAAAAAAAAAGAGAGAAAAAAACAAACTAATGGATTTTATTTTTTTTTATTTTTTAGTTCAAAAATAATTTTTGAAAATAAATGGAAAAGCTTTCCACCACTTTTATGATTTTAGTATATTATATAAACGCAATTTCACTCAAAAATTTGAAATTCCAAAAAAAAAAAAAAAAAAAACAAAAATCCATAATAATAAATAATTTCTTCTTAATATATTTGAAATGAGTCATTCTTATAAATTTAAATTTATTATTTTGAATGACCTTTGACCCTATTTATTAATGATATTTTCATCGATGCTTGTAATATTATGAAAAAAAAAACACAATAATTTTTGTAAATTTCATTAAATCTATCATTATTAGTAAATAGGAAAAATAGAAGAGTGAAAAATTTTTATCAGAATGTAATCTTTGTGCTTTTGAAATAATTTCAATGAGAATAAATGGCAGTTAAAAAGATAATAACTGGTAATTTTGAAATTTAAAATGAACTGAACCGGATAAGATGGAATCAATTTTATTACCGGTTACCTTGCCGTAAATGTAAAACTAATAAGAAGGGAATTTCTTTTATTAGTTTTATCTTTTTACTGCCTTTGGCATTGCAAAAGTTAACATTTTCATGAATTGATAATTAATCAGAACATGTTTGTCAACAATTTATGCATATCAAAATTCCGGTTTTTTTTTTTGATAAAAAAATTTTTTAAAAAAATTTATAAAGAATTTGTTTTTTTTTTTGCTTTACCTCTCTCTCTCTCTCTCTCTCTCTCTTTTACATTTTTTTGCTTCATCGTTTCCAAAAATAATTTTATATATGATAATTATATTTCAATATTTGGCTTTCTCTTCTTTTTGCTTCTATTTTCACTTATCTTTTCTCTTCTCTCAAATGAATAACTTTTCATGCAGAAAAAAACAAATTTAATTTAATTTAATTATATTTCAAAAAAAAAAAAAACATAGAAATTTACCTGTACGGTGTTATATTAGCAAATAATTGTAATTGATTGTTGAGTGAGGTATGCAATGAACAGAGCATTTTCAGGTAATCAAGATCAAATAGGTCATCATAAGAGTTTACCTCCACAACGAATTGTGTTAAATGATCCACTATAAAATATTTTTTTGTGAAAAATATGTATGAAATTTTCATTTCTAATTTAATTAATTGTTAAATTAATTAATTGAAAAGATATTGATAGAAATTACTGAGAGAAATCGGTTATTTCTACATGTAATTTAAATTGTAATTTTGAAAAGTTAATCCAATTTTAAAGTAGTAATACATTGGAAAATTATCAAAAATTTACAGAAACTTTTCCTTTCTTTTTTGCATTAAATTCAGTATAATAAAAAATTTATTTAATTTATCTATTATAGCCTTTTCTAAAAGCTTTGAAAAAAAAAAAAGAAAAAACTCTCAAAACTTTAAAAAGTTTTTGTTTTTTAAGAAAAAAAAAATCGTTACGAATATACATAATTTCTGCTTGATGATAAAATTTAAAGTAATTTTTCCTTTGTTTCTTTTTTGCTTACTTTTTTTACAGTAAGATAATTCAAAAACTTTTAAGCAAGTTAAAAAAAAAAAAAGTAAATAAACGATTAAAAATTATTAATTAATTGCTATTTCAATAATATTTCTTATCAGTTAATCTATCTTACTGATTACTTTTTGCTAGTTTGAGTTTAATTTCAACTAAAGTTTAAGTTTAATTCTCCTACACTAATCAATCCTACAAATATAATTTTAATTTAAATTTAAAAAAGTAAAAGTTACTTCCTGGAATAGCTGTCTCATAGCATGCTACCTGACCAAATGTATTTAATAATTCATCAGCCCAAGAGCGCTTCAAACGATTCTTTCTTATTGTTGTCGCATTTGATAGGACAATTCGATTACCCATTTGTATATTTAATCCAATTTTTTCCCATGTTAATCTTTGCCCAGAATATTCCGTATCACGGGTATCGAAACCCTAAAAAGGAAAAAAAAAAAAAGAATGCTAATATCATTTTGATAATTTTTATTTGAATATTTTTATTAGAAATTAATACTAAATCTTTTAATCAAAAAATTTTTAATTCATCCAATTAATCAAAATTTAAAAATGTTTGTTTTTTTTCTAATGAAAGATCGATTAATTTTTTTCTTGTTTTTAAATAATACTTTGATATTTAAAATATAATTTGGCTAATTAGCCATATAAATTTGAAAAAAGTAATTTTTAAGACATATATGGAAGTAATATTAGTAATTACTGATAATCACTGCCAAATTGTCGTTTTTTTTGTTTATTTAAGTTGAATTTTTCAAATTTAAATTTCTTTAGAATTTATTACATTCATTTATTTTTCATTTCAAATTACCTTCCTTATGATTTTTTATATCTGTTTAGGTATAAATTTTAAAAAGTGAAAAAAAAAAAAATTAATGCATCTCTTTCTTTGCATTCATTTTCAAAAATTTGAATAATATGCCAACCAATTCGTCAACAATTATTTATCATTTTTTTTTTCCTCTTTGAAGTGTCCATTTCAATTTTTCTTTTTCTTTAAATGTTAAATTTCAAGTTAAGGTCTAAAAAAAAAAAAAATTGAAAAGAAAGAAAAGAAAAAAACTTATAAAAAGTGAATAAAGCAGCCAACAAAATTGATATTAAGAAAATTCCGGGATATAACGGGAATATTCCGCGCATTCAATGAACAAAAATAAATTGCCTAATATTAGCCAATTCCATATCGCAATTTATAAGTATAATTAAGATTTCAATTAACGGAGAAATTTCAAACTCTTGTTGCTTTTTTTTTTTTATAAAATTGGAAGAAAAAAATATTTAATTATTTATTATTAAATTTAATTATTTACTTATTTAATTATAAAATTTAATTGTTTACTTATTTAATTATAAAATTTAATTATAATAAAATATTCGCAAACAAAAATTAGTGGAAGAAAAAAAAAAAGTGAAGAAAATAAAGGACCATATTTTAAACAGTACATAATTATACCTATTTATGTCATTAAATTAATTTTTATTTTCAAAATCATTTCAAGTGTTTGTTTAAATTTATTAAGGAAAGATAAGATTTTATCAGTGAAATTAAATTTAAACATTATTCTCTTCTCTCTCTCTCCCTCTCTCTCTCTCTCTCTCTCTTTCTCTCTCTCTGTACTTCGTTTTCGCCATGAAAATTAGGTAAATAAGTAAATATATGGAGCATTCACTCAGCAAACTTTTATTATAAAAAGGTTATTTTACATCATTCATACATCGTTTCAATTGAAATATTAATTTGAAATTTCTAACACTCAAATATTTGTCAAATATGTGAATTTAATTTTCACTTTTCAATGACAAACTTTTAAAATTTGTTGAAGTAAATAATAGAATCATAAATCCATCATAGATATTATATATAAATATTTTACCCATCTTTTCTTTACAAATAATACATCCAGGTATGGGTAAAATGTATGGGTAAGTGTAAACTTTTACTATGTACAAATCTAAGAGATATTTTTTTGATAAATTTAATTTTTAAAAGAATAATGTTGAAAATTTTTTTTTTTTTTAACACAAATCTAATTTTAATATCAATTAGTCAATATTATCAAATATTACAATTTGATATTTTGCATTTAGGTTTAAATTGGTGTCACAAATTCATTCTTTGATTTTATTTCAATCAATGAATTTCTCATTCGCATAAAGTTCATTGATCGATGACCGCATTAAATGAATAAAACTTACCAAATTTTAACAAAGAATAACAAATTTTAAATGCAATTCAAAATGAATAAAATTTGTGTTATTTAAAAATTTTGTTATATTATTCAAATTTTTTTTTTTTTTTGAAATGAAGCATTTGAAAATTTTTCGACTAATACTTTGATCTATTCCGATGCTATTTTAAGATTATTTGTTTCGTTAAATATTTTCAAGCAGTCTTCTTTCTCAGTTTTCGATAAAAACAGGAATTCAAATTTGTTTTTTTTTTTTTCAATCATTTTTTCACCCGCAAATATATCAACAAATTCCTTCATTTCTTTTCATGTATAAAATAAAATTCCAAAATTTTACATAAGCTTTCTTTTTTCTTCTCTCTCTCTCTCTCTCTCTCATTATAAACAAATTAATTGTTTAAATTAATATGTGTTATCTAAAATAAGCATTTTATAAGTAATTTTAAATGAATAAGGCTAAGAAATCAATTGTTTAATTAAAATTAAATATAGTACTATTAATGAATACAATTAAAAAAATGGTAAAAATAAATTTACAAAATAAAAGAAAGAAAAACAATATATTTTTCCTAAACAATTAATTATATATGAAAAAGTTAAAAATCAATTTCAAAAAAAAAAAAAAAACTTACAGTTTCAGGATTTTGATTAATTTGTAATGGATTAAAGAATAATACAGTTATAGGTAAAATTGTTGTTAGAATTGAGATTACAATTAGAATAGTTCCTGGATAATTGAATAGAAAAATGGAATAATTAGCTAATAAATTATGCAAAATACCATTATTTCTAATTTTATTCATCATTTTTCTTTCTTTCTTTTAAAAATAATTATTAGCTAATAAATGAATGATTAGAAATGCAACAAAATGCATGCACATGCATTCGTGCTGCATGCATAGATGCAACGAATTGATGATTGTTTGACTGATAGATTGGAAGGATGAATGAATGAATGAATGAATGAAAAGGAATGGATGAAAAGGATTGAAATAAACTAACATAGAAATCAATCATTCCTGTAATATCACCCTGCCACGCCTACTAAATTGCTCTGTTGATTAACGATTTTATGATGTTCAATCATTAGTTACGATTTTTTTTTTGAAAATTATTGAAATATAATAATGAATGTAATATTCTTATATTTATTTCGTTTCTTTTCTCTACTATTTAATAATTTTAATCTTTCTTTTTTTTTTCTAAATAATTTGAAAGTGTATAATTAATAGTTGTATTTAAAGTAATTACATAATGAAATTTATTTATTTATTTTTTTTTTTGGTTATAGTTATTTGTGAAATGAATTGCATATATTAAATTTGTGAAATGTTTAACATTAAAAGCATTCTAATTAACTGAAACGAAGAAATAAAAAAGTAAATAAAGAAAAGAAGTTAAACCGGTTTAAATTTTCCTCTTTTTTTGCCTTTTTTCTTCTAAATAAGAGTTTTTTTTTTTTCTATTTAATAAAACAAAAAAAAAACGGAAGTTTATTAGTGGTTGTAAGTTTTGTGTAAATAATTTTTTACGTTTTTTTTTTTTAAAAAAAAATCAAAAATCATAAAATGGTAAATTACTTAATGATATTGTAGCTTATTAACTTCATAGAATTTCTTTTTTTGTAAGAATGTTAGCAATTTTTTTTCTTTTTTTTTTTTTTTTTTGTGAATATAATGTAATTTTTTATCATTTTGAAAATATTACAAACATAGGAAAGAATTAAAATTTCTGCAAATACAAATGGATAATATATCAGTCATTGGTTTCATAATAAACATGTAATATTTTATAAAACACAAAACATAAGAGGAATCATCTATTGTAGATACAACATTTATTAACTCGTATGAAATGTTATTGCATTAGACCAAATGTTATACCAATAAAATGAATTCTATGAACAAAAAATAATGAAAATTTCAAAGCATTTCGAACGGTGGTTCCTCCTCTACCACACCGAATGTTACTAAACCACAGTGCACAGCAAATAACACCGATATCGTTAATGCACCTACAGCAAAGAAGATCGTTTCAGCTACTGGACCCTGAAAAATGTAATGAAGATGTAATATTTTCCTTCTTTTGATGTATCTAATTGTTAAAAGTTAAAAAGTTAAAAGAAATATTGAAGAATACAGGAGATCTAATCATTTAAAAATTTACTTTTAACTTTTCTAAATGATATATACAGTTATTAGAAGATTAAGAATAGATCAAGAGGAATAATCTAATCTCCAATCTCTCAACTAATTTTCATCATCATTGCTATACACTTGTTCCTTTTTTCTTTTTTATATTTGCTACTTGTAAACTTACTGATGTTTGCTGCTCTTTCACTGTCGTCCGTCGCAAATTCATCTGTCCTGCTTCTTTTTGTGCGCGACGTCGCCGGCTATACCATTTGTCCTGAAAAAAAAAAAAACATTTTTTCAAGCGAAAGCAAAATCATATATCTAAATCATTTCATGAGAAATAAGGCTAAAATGATAACCTTTAGAGCAGCTTGCTGCCTTATTTGAGTTTCACTCAAAGGCAAGTATATGCTTATAATAGATTCGATAAATCGTACAACATTTGGACAACTCATTATGTGTTGCTGCAATCGATCTGATGGAAGCGGTAGTTTTAGAATTGGTGCCAAATATCCAAAAATTAAGGCATCAATAGAACTTGGTCTAAAAAAGAAGTACAAACGAACAATGATATCAAATATACAAAGTATATCTTCCAATAAAGATCAAAATTTGTACATATTGTTGCTTACATATATTTATAAAAACTAGAAATTAGCATAAAAGTTAACGTTTCAATACCACGTACTTGTCACCATAGAAGTACTTCTTATTACCAAGTCTGTCTTCTAAAAAATTGACCGTATTTATGGCATCGTGAATAATTTGCTTTTCATTTCGGCCGCAAGCTGAAATATAAGCTTGAGCACGCCTGCGACGTTTCTCCAAGTAATATAAATTATAACCAAACGGTAGTTGTTTTGAATACCAATGTTGCATTATCGCCGAATAATTATACGAATCAAGCCAAAGGAATTGTAACTGAAATAGAGAGTTTAAATCTGGATGGAAAAATTCAAAAACTTTGAAGTGTATCTCAGAAAATTGGTATTTGACTTTAAAATAGAATTTTCTTTTTGGACAGACAAATCAATTCAAATCAATTAAAAAAATTAATAAAAAAATATTAAGACATGAAGTGGTTTGCACCTCAGCAGGATAAAAATTTCGATGCATTAAACTTGAATATGCTTCAAATTCGCATTTTTCACTGGTACTCAGCTCGCTGTCCAACACAACTTCCTCAAATAACAATGACTTTTTTATAAATTATATTTTTATCAATTCTTTCATACTGCTAACATACACAAACGATTATTTAATTTCTATGGTAAATTTATTTTTCTCAAGTATATCCAATAGAATGGATATGTTTGTTTATTTATTTATTTGTTTGTTTGCTTGTGTATATGCACGTATGTCTGCTTGTGTACATATTTTTTGATGTCTCATTCGTTTTCTCAATTTCTCGCCAATAATGTATCGTTTACTTATCAACAGTCATTATCTACGAATGAATTTAAGTGGTTGTCAAAACATTTTGAAAACCTGTGCTCAAGTACTACTAGAGAATGTGTCATTGTCTTCTATGCTGGAATATATAACAAAATATAGTTGAACATGAAATATAAGTCTAATATTAAATTCATAAAAAAGATACTCTATACTGTTATTTTTTCTTTTTTTTTTTTTAAATTAAGCAATGAAAATAACATCATTCTCACCTGGGCATTTCTTCGTAATATGTCAGCAAATTTATCAAAGTCATAAATTTTTTCCACCATATTACTTCGATCAATAAACATTGGATATTCACCTACAATAACAAATAATTTTCAATTGATTATGAGTCATACTAAACTGGATCTCTTTCAAAATGAACAGGAAATTGAATTTGGTAAAATTGCACCTACCATTATGACTTTTCCATGGTGAGCAAGCAGAAATTACAGATACCGGTGCTGCACAAAATTTGGCACATGCCTGTTAATATGATTAAATTTATTAATTTTTCTCTAATTTTTTTTTTATATTTTTTTAAAAAAATAAAATGGATGAAGAAATTTTCGAAATTTTTAGACTTTCATTTTATTTGGAAGTTGAATTTTCAAATTCCAAATTAAATAGTCCATTTCTAAATAAAACATACAATTAATTACCATAAATTGAAGACAACGAGAGTCTACGGAAGGTAATCCAAAATCAGATGGCCATATGTATAATTCCATCTTACTTCCACAAAATTATCCACCAATTTTGAAAAAAAAAAAAAAAGCAATCTGAAAAGAAGAGAAAATTTACAATGAAAACAACTGGTACTTATTACTTTTTCATTTTCATTTATTTCTTTCTTTTTTTGTTGATAATTTTTAGAAAGGAATTTAAATGAATTAAACTTTTTAGTAAAATAAATTTAATATTTTTAAAAATTTCATTGCATTTCTTTCTTTCTTTTTTCACAATGTATTTTTAAATTTAACGAATAGTTTAAATTTTTAAAAATTTTTAGAACACTTTTTTTTCTTTCATTGTTTAATTTTAATAACATTTCGACTTTTTTTTGTATAACATAATTCGACAGGGATGAATAAGAGTGGAGAGAGGGCGAGAGAGGGAAAGAGAGAAAAGAATGAATGGAGAGAGGAGAGAGAGAGGGATAAGAATGTCAGTGTAGAGGGATAGTTATGAGTAATAATTAGAATGAGATGGTTATAGATATCGAGAGATGGATAATATATCATTGGTAACAGAGTGAGAAATTATCAGATGAGGCAGCATGCATACATACACAATGCTAACAAATCCCGAGATTTCTCGAGAATACAGGTAACAATGCAAAATTGCCACCAAAATAAAACTAACACTTTTGTTGATAATGCTATGATGGGATTGTGTTCAATTTGCGAATGATTTTTAAGGTAGCGCATTAAATTTTCTTTTTCAATTTTTATAATTTGTATTTGTTGAGATTTTCCGAAACGTATGATTGACGTAAAATAGACAAACATTTGAGTGCTATAGAAGTAAGAAAGGTCAAATATAACTAATAGCATTGTATAAGTAAGGCAGCACGTGAGATGACATGTTGCACGTCTAACTAATTTGTTGTCAGATAATCTCGAGAATTATTCGATTATTCGTAATCTCGAGAGATCACTTAATTTAGCGTAAGTAAATTGATTCTTCTCATATTTGAATATGTTTTGATCTTTTCGATCAGCGTTAATTGAATGTAACATTGTGATAAGAGTAATGCACGAATGATATCTTAGCATAAATTTAGATGAGAGATGCACGTGAGACTAGAAACGTGAACAGGTTGCACGTGGGAATTGAGACGTGAATAGGTATGCGTGATATGCACTTATGTTATAAAGAAATAATTTATTAGGAATATGATATTGCAAAAATAATTTATTTGCAATAGTGGACTTAATAGATGGTGGTGATATCATAATGATGATGATAATAATTGATGATAATGACGATGATAATGAAAGGTTGAGCTGAGATCTAAGAGAATAGGTCAAATTTCTGGAAGTATTCTTGACTATTCTATCATATCTTTATTCTTATTGATTATCAAGATGCATCCTTTTCTATATATTTTCTTTGTACTTTCCCTATTCTTCATCCCTTCAAAATTAACGTTCTTGCTTTCCTCTATTAAATTATATTTTTTATAATCTCTTTTTTCTAGATTGGTAGTTATACCTTTGGAATTAATAATG